GGCACACTCGATATATGCAAACGGGCCATACAGAGGGCGTGCTCAAACATGTCCGACGTCAGCGATCTGGCCATTCGATAAGCACACCAATTCAGCCATCTCGGCATTATCACGCGCCTCGTGGATCGGGCAACAAGTGCCCCGGCCATCGGATTCAGCCCTGTAGGTGGGCTTCGTGGCGAAGGCTCGGCTGCGGATGTTAGGCCAAATCTGAAAGGGGACTAACAACGCCCGAGGGGGCTGGTGAGTTGGCTTGACAGTAGATGGGTTATTTCCGACTTGTAAGCGCGCTGGCGCGGGAAAACATCGTGAGGCATCGCACTTGTGTTGGTGTTGGCTATTCTTCTCTACGGCACAGTTGTGAGCTGTCTCTTCTGCCTTCTGGATGGCTCCAGCGTCTAAGTCGTCTTGCAGCCATCTGGACAAGGGGTGCGCCACGGCGGTACTATCTACACCGTGTACGAAGTGCATGTCCTCGCATTCATGAGTTCGTACTCCGGTCCGCACCGGTCAGATATCGCTCACGAGCGATTTCGGCGCGCCGTGAGCGAGTTGTAATTCCCTCACGAAGAGTCTGCGCATTTTCCGTATTGCCTCGCGCATTTCCGTTGCAGGTCCCCGGTGAGCATCAATTCCCTCATCCCTCATCTCGAGATGAGTGGTGGTGTGGGAATCATGCACAGCCCAATCAGATCCTCGACTACTAGACAATGCCTCTTTGAAGTCTTACTCCAACCCCAGTGGACCCATCGCGAAACAGCTTACTCAGGGGAAGACCTTGTTGTTGGTCTGTTTCGGGGTCGTGTTGTTTGCGCGCCTTGAAGAGGCACAGTTGGTATGGCCTATATATACTGTGCGCCTACTACGCCCCGGCGCTATGGTCCTGTTTCCGCGCCGCACATGGCTTTCCAGGTACTTAAGCGCCCAGGGGCTGTTTACTGGCCTACTTGGACCTACTTTGAGACCTTCCTTACTATGATGACACAGGATCACGAAGTGCAGGATGCCTTTCGAATGGCACGACTGTTGCGTATTCTTCGCACAAAAATTCATTTCGCTGCATGCATCGCTATCGTTCATGCTGGTATCAGCTCCCTTGAGATATACCCTGCGAGTAGTACTAGTAAAGAAAAATAGATTTTATCTAAACCTCATTTCCTGTGCCTTCCTGTCCAGTCCGCCTCCGACCCAGAAGCTGAGTTCGCTGGCGATCGCAAATAATCGTCATCTCATGAAGCTTGCCCTTGATATCCTCCATGGCGGCCCGATTTCCACGTTCCTCTTGCACCTGAGGCAATATTCTTCCCACCATAGATTGCAGCCTCAACCGCACATCAAGCATCTACTTTCACATCCCAATCCATGTCGACGAAGTGGGCGTAGAAGTAAGCTAGCTGCGCCTCTGAAAGCGGTTCTGGGCCCTCATCGTCGTTATCTTCACCGCCATACATATCCTGTTCAGCGAGTTCTTCATCGCTATCTGTATCTTCCGTAACAAATCGAGCGATTTCCGGACATGAGAGGGTGACGATGAGTGAGGGCTTTTGTAGTGGTTTGGCTGTGTCTTTGTCTGAGGCATCATTCTGCTCATCCGGTGTGTGATCATTCTCGGTATTGGTGGGATGAAGGGATGGCTCGCTCTCTAGCATCTGCACCGGATGGAGGGTTCTGTCGCTCTCACGCTTGGCAGTGACCTTCTCGATCTTCTCGTTCATGTCGCCGCCATTGTGTGAGGTCTAGACTGTGTGTTAACCATAATCCTCTAGAAATAGATTTATGAATAGCTCACTGTGATATTGGCTTCTGACTGCATGGTTTCGGGTAGACTTTCCTGCACCGTCGTCTTCTTGTCGTGTGCTCCTCGGTCGGGCTGCATCTTCATGAACGGCGTTGGTAAGTTGGTAGGAAGAATGAAGATATTGTAGTAGGACTGAGGACCGAAAGGTAACTGGGATAAGAGAGTGTAGCGCTTGGTTTAACGCGGGAAATTTGTCTGCCTTCACCTGCTCGGCTCACAGTGACCACGTAGGCTTGGCATGAGAGTTGAGGTGAGAGAGATTGTCTTGCTGCTCCTTGTAGACCTACACGTTCCATTATATGGCCCCTAGAATGCTAGTGTGTTGCATACAACACATTCTCAAGTTCCGAAGAATGCTGCAATACAACAGCGAGGAGGTCTTCACAGGATTTCTGCCTGTCAGAGATCCCACAAAGTTGTCCATGTATCCTTCAAACAGACCTATGAAATATTAAATCTTGAACTGCTCATGTGTTGTAGGATGCAACTGTAATGTATGTATTGCATATAACCTGAAGTCTAATGAATGCCAATACGTGATGTGAGACCAAACGCCAAATATGCACCGAACGAATATTGTACAGCACCTCCTCACCCCAAGCCCCCTCTTCTACTTCAGAATACTCGCCCCTCTCCGATCCTTCTTGAGCGGCGAGAAGGTGAACGCCTCCTCACTCATCATGTTGAATCCGCCCGAAATGGGGCGTCCCTGTCCCTGCTTACCCAACACGTTCTTACTCAGGGCCCTCGCCGCAAACAGGCCTTTGCTGAGACCGACAGGCTTCAGGGGCGCAGCGTCTTCGGCATCTTCAGAATCAAAGAGTGTCTTGCCGGCACCTGCACCAAGCTTGCGCTTCTTCTTCTTCTCTGCCGCGGGTTCCTCGGTGAATGTGGCAAAGGACATGAGTGACTTGCGAGGCTTGACTTTGCTGGACTTCTTGGATGGGCCATCGTCGTCTTTGGTCGGGATGGATACGGGCGCGTTTTCGGATGCGTCTTTGGATGTGTTGTGCGAGAGCTCAGATGCTTCCTCTGAGACCATTTCGAGGACTGGGGCAGCGTTCTTCTTGCGTGGCTTTGCGTTTGCCTTGCTCGATGCCGATGGCGCGAGGGCCTTGACCTTGGGTTGGGCAGTCTTCTTGAGGGCTTTCTTGGGAGGCGCTGTCGGAGTACCTTGCTCTTCAGCAACTTCTTCTTCGACTTGTTGCTCGGCCTCCTCCTCTTCTTCAATGATAGGGCTGTCAAGTGCGATATTGCTCGCTTTGTTCAGGAATGGCGTTAGGGAGAAGGTGGATGTATCACCCATGGCAGAGACCGAAGTGCCGCGCTTCGCCTTCTTCGCAGGGAAGCCGTCTCCTGGCGTACCCAGCATGGTCTCTGGCTCAGCAGTAGCTGCCATGCGTTTTCGAGCAGTCTTTGCGGGCTTGCTAGACGCAGCTGCGATGCTCTTAACAGGTGGTGCGGTCTGCGCCCGGTCTACCCTTTGAAGCTCGGCTTCCTTCTCCTTCAACTTCTCCTTGGTTGTTCGTAGCTTCTCGCGGAAGGCACTCAGCTTGTCGTCGAGCACCGCATTTTTGCCCTGGAGTTCGGCCAAGGTCTGCTTGTATTCCTTCTCTTGCTTCTTGCGCTCGCGCTTCTCTTCTTCCAGCTCTTTCCTTGCAGCCTCGGCTTGATCGTCGGGTTGTTGCGAACCCTTCCTCGACGCCTTCTCTGCCTTCTGACGCTCGCGCTTCTCTTGTTCGAGTTCCTGTCGCAGCTCTTCGATCTCAGCATCGCGGGCGGCGGTGTCTTTGCGGGCTTTCTCGGCTTGAAGGCGTGCAGCCTTTTCTTGTTGTAGTTCTTCGCGGAGCTGCTCAATCGCGGCATCTTGGGCCTCACTGCGCTTGCTAGCCTTGTTGGCCTCCTTCTTGGACAGGCTCTCGACCTTGGCCTGCAGACTTTCGGTGGCCTGTTGTTGCGACTCCAGATCGGCCTGCACCTTCTCCATGGCCTTTTCAGCCTTTGTAAGCCCAGCCTCAGCCTTCATCCGGTCCTTCTTCTCCGTTGCGAGCTCATTGCGCACCTCCTCCAACTCGTTGCGGAGGTCCTCGTCCTGCTCCATCTTCTTCCCCTGTTTCGCAATGGTACGGGCGGAGGTCCGCTTCTCGTTCTCGAGTTCGACTTGTAGCGTAGTCATCTGGCGTTGCAATGCGAGCTTCTCAGAAAGTAGACCGGTGTTTGCTTCGACCTGGGCGCGTAGGTGTTCGACTTCGGGGCGTAGTGATGAGATTTCGCGGGACAGGGCAAGTTTGTCTGATAGTATCTTGTTGGAGTCGGATGTGACGTTTTCCATAGCCTTGAGCTCGGCCTAAGAGAAGTAAGCAAATAGCGCAATGATCGATAGGCCGGACGTGCTTACCTTGAGATTCGCGACTTCCCGCGCCTGGGTGCGGATGGTGTTTTGTGCTGCCTCTGCCTCTGCGCGTTGCTCGTCCAACTGCGCAAGGGCCTCTTCGAGCGATGCCTCGAGCTCGTCGGATCGCGCCTGCTCCTCCTCGAGTTGTTCGTGTAGGTCGCTGTTCTCGTCTTGCAGGAGGCACTGGGCGACTCGCAACTTCCGGATCTCCTCGTCTTTGACTACCGCTTCGACTGAATGCTTACTCCGCTCGAGGCTGAGTTCGAGCGTCGCGTTCCGCAGCGAATGTTGGAGCTGAAAGGGTCAGTGGAAGGTCTAAGACACGGCAGCCGAACAGGGTCCAGCCGTCTTTTACTCACATCCTTCATCTCGTAGTTGATGTCCATATCTGCCTCCACAGCGGCGACCATGGTATAATATCTGCTCAATGATGCGCGAGCGTGTCGCTAGGTGTAGATGTAGGACAGAATGTGGTGGGGCTTTAGGTAGACGCGACTGGGTAAACAAACAGAGCGCAGATGGCCGTCATGGAGCTAGCAACACAACAAAGTGGAAGAATGACGCTGAAAACGTGAAGATAGCGCGCGAACACTACTAAAGAACGAATCGCCTCTTGAGTAGTCCAGCAGTCCTTGTGAGGTTTACAATCCGCAGTGCTGACCTCCAACGCCCATGTCGCGCACCCCTGCCTAGGTGTCGGCCTTGGCATTACGCACGCCGCATCTCCGAGCTCGAGGCCACGTTCCCAAGCACCAGTCCAACCCACCAAAGCTCCGCACACCAACTCTCCACCCGCCAAACGACATAATGCGGTGGTTACAGCTCCTCACGGCCTCGCTGCTGCCCTTTACAGCTCTGGCTGCCAAGAAATCGACCGGCGACCGCTTCACTGACGCCCGCGCCAAGTCGTTTTTTGTGGGCTATCCGCTCAAGCTCGACGACGCCGGTTATGCGCAATTGACCAAGTCTCCGAGAGATTATGGCGTTGCTGTGCTTTTGACGGCCCTGGAGCCGAGGTTTGGATGCATGCTCTGCAGGGACTTTCAGCCCGAGTGGGATTTGCTGGGCAAGAGCTGGATGAAGGGTGACAAAGACGGGAAGACGAGACTGGTCTTTGGCACGTTGGACTTTGTTGATGGAAAGAACACTTTCCAGTCGGTGAGACCTCCCTGTTCCTCTACTTTCAGCTCTCCAGGACTAACAATCGATAGATGATGCTTCAAACCGCACCCGTCCTCCTCTACTTCCACCCAACCGTCGGCGCAAACGCAAAGGTCGACTCCGCACCCGTCCGCTTCGACTTCACCGCCGGCCCCCAGAAAGCCGAACAGATCCACGCCTGGATCGCGCGCCAGCTCCCCGCTGACGTGCCCAAGCCCTCCGTCTCCCGCCCCATCGACTGGGTCTTCTACATCTCCGCTACCGTCATCGTCCTCGGAGGTATCACGGCCATCTCAGTCGCCTGGCCGTACATCATTCCCATCCTCCAGAACCGTAACCTCTGGGCCGCCGTCAGCCTTATCGCCGTGCTTCTCTTCACCAGTGGCCACATGTTCAACCACATTAGGAAAACACCGTATGTCGTGGGTGATGGCAAGGGTGGTATGAACTACTTCGCCGGAGGCTTCAGCAGCCAGTACGGTCTCGAGTCGCAGATTGTTGCTGCCATCTACGGCATCCTCGCTTTTGCTGCCATTTCTCTCGCCATCAAGGTTCCCAGAATCAAAGACCCGCGCGCACAGTCATTCGCCGTTTTCCTGTGGACTGGTGTCCTGTTCGGCATGTACAGCTTCCTGCTCAGTGTCTTCCGCATCAAGAACGGCGGATACCCCTTCTACCTGCCTCCCTTCTAGGTGAATCGAGATGAAAGTGGTTGGGATTCCTGATTTGTAAGGGATACGTAAGAAGGCTAGAGGCTTTTCCATCTTGGAAAGAACATCACTCTAGCATTTGAAAAAATCGAACTCGCGGTCAGAGTTTGGTGCACTGTATGATAACGCTGTTTGAGCGGGCGTTGATGAATTAGATGTCTGCTTAAAAGCGGACCTGTAGTCACTATTAGGATTTGACACCTTTGTAACAAGACTGTCAAATGAATCATGTACTACATTAGGATATCGTATACACGCATAAAAGCAAATCGTGCCCTTACCGCTAAGAAAACATTTTGGCCTTGAGATGATCATAAACCCATGAAACCGATGCCGAAAAGGACAATACACTTTGCAAATTGAGCCGATCGTGAGAGAAGCAAAAAACGCCTAAGACATTGTCATGGCGTGTAGGTCGAAAACGTCGTTCCTCCAGCCGCCCTCATCCCAGTCATCGATGCGCTCCGCTGCACGACGACCCTCCTCTTCCCATAGCTTGACAACACTACCAGGTGCATACTTGCCAGCGAATACACCCTTGCCAGGTGCCTCGACACCAACCCTCGTGTAGACGTCTGGATCGTCGGCGGGTGTGAGACGAGTGATGACAGCTTTGACGAAGGTCTTGAGGTCGTCTGGGTCCGAGATCCTCGTAGCTCGGAGCCTCTCGCGGGCGAAGATGAGCTCGCGGTTGGCAGCATGGATACCGTCGGCGATACCCTTGGCCATCTGCCTCTCCATGACCTTGCGGACGATGGGGCGAAGGAGCGGTTTGAACAGCCAGCCGAGGATGCTGAACTTGGATTTGCGAAGCTTATAGGTGAGCTTGTGGATGTGGACGCGCACGGCTTTGAGGGTGAGAATCTGTTCTAGCTTCTCCTTGCCGACCTCGACGTCGAGATGGATATCAATACCGCGCTCGTCGAGCTGGAAAGATGCGATACCCTCATCGGCAAGACGGAGGAGACCAGAGTGTGCGCGAAGAAGGAAGCCGACTTCATCTGCACGGAACGAGAGACCGTCAATCTTGATTGTGAACTTGGAAGTAGCCTTTGACGCCACACGGAAGCGGGCCTTGCGGAGTTCGAAGTCGTTGTATGTTTCTACCTTGAAGCGGAAAGGCAGGAAGGAGGTGTGGTTGACGGTCTTTCCGGGTTCGATAATCAGGTTCTCGAGGAGCATGTCGATCTCGGGCGTGGAGACCTCCAGACGGGGGATAGGAATGTACTGGATAGCCTGGATTCCGAGAGGAACGAAGACGTTGATGGCGTCCTGAACCAATTCGCTGTTGGTGGAGTTGTGCATGGGCGACAAGATGTTCCAGATCCTCGTGCTTGTTTTGATCAGCTTCGCAATGTCTTCATCCTGCGTCACGGCCATGAACGTTCGCTGGGCTTGCTCAAAGAACACATCGACATCCTGACGGAGCGAAGACTCGCTTCCAACACCCTGGGCCTTCTTCCGGAGTTCCTGGAACTTCTCGTCGACGTGATCGAAGAAGTCGGGGTCGGTGAGCAGCTTCTGGAGGGAGTTGCCAACGTCGGTCAGCAGATCCTCAAATTCTGGGTCCTTGCGAGAGTGATCCAAGACCCGGTGGAAGGCGTCCTCGAGCTTCTTCCATTCCTGTTTATCTCCGAACGAGCTGATGAATGTCCAGAAGTTCCTGACGGCCTTGTCCATCGCTGGGTTCGTGTCGATGTCGGTTTCGAGCGTGCCCATGGCATCTTCGACCGTGCGAGAGTACACTAAAGCGTAGCGCTTCAGGAGCTGTGCCAGCACCGAGACGGAGTCGTTGTAGTCCCTCTTCTGCCTCAGGTTTGTAACCGTCTTCTTCAGGCGGAACATGAGAGATTCGCCCTCGTCACCCTGTAGCTTTTGTCCCAGACTCACGTCTGCCCTCTTAGCAACCTTGGCCACACCATTTCCAACTACCTGGGCTACTTCGGCGACATCGTTACCCAGATCCTCGGCCGAAGGTGGAGGGCCCTCGTCAGCGCCTGGCTCCTTAAGCGCCTTGTACTCTGCCTGTGAGGGCTCAATCTTCTTCGCAGCCTTCTTGGACACGTTCGACAGTGTGAATGCGGTGTCTCTGAAGACTTCGCGTCCGACGGTTTGGAGATCAGAAAGGAAGATGCGGAAGTCTGAATTGGTAAGGAGGAGGGATCCAACAGTTTGGAGGCTCTGGTATGCTGCTCCCGTGTTAGTGAATGAGATATAGACGCATCTGGGAGTACGCACCTGCAGTAGCATCCGCCTTCGCCTTTGACCTTGTCGTCCGCCTCGCGATATCCTCTACGTCAACAGAAATCCTAGACTTGGAAAGGTACCAAAGGAAGTCTTGAATCTGGTCTTCGCTGTTCTTGTGGTTCATCGTGTCGATGAACTGATGAAGCCATTGTTTCGTAAACTTGACAAGCAGGCGTCCTGAGTCGCTCAAGTCTGGGTTCTCTGGGTTCAGGACGTCTGCAGACAGCAAGCTGCGGAGGTTGATGATGACTTGTTCATTCGACGGCATGAATCCCATGGAAAGTGCCCTCAACATCTGGTACGAGTGGAGCTTCTGGTGCACCTCACGCTGGAGCGTTGTATCATCGCGATACTATCATTCGGTGTTAGTACGCGTCGCGTTGCAGACAGTTGAGCTGACGTACCTGAGGCAACAAAGGACGCTGGTCGTCGTCGCGTTTGCGCGACCCGAAGCATGATGAGAGTGACATTGCGATAGTTGGTGTCACTTTCGAGTGGAGTGGAGTGCAATTGTGGTTGATAGAGAGTGGAGAGAGCTCTGGCAGAGGTTACATTGAAGCTGTACCAAGGTTCCAGGCTCCCAAACGACGCGTTGATCAGGATGACGAGGGAAGCTAGCGCCTTGACGTCATGCCGTTCGTCGATCCCGCGGCTCCACATATGCGCCAAGGCTACATGGGCGGGTGTCATTCCCCAACCTATGGCACCCATGGTTCGCGCATCACTCTTGAGCACGTGGCCTTGATGAGTTCCATATTCTGCGATATGAGCAAACTTCGCCCAAGCGTGTAAATTACCAGCACGGCGATTCTCCTGAATGTGTTCTTGCGTTCATACAATGGGGGTCAAAAGCAACCCGATGCCGAGGTAAGCCACTTTCTAGCTCTGGAATGTAGTCGAAAAAAGGTACAGAAAAGCAGTCGTCGGAAGCCGGTTCACAATGATGGAGCGTACTCCGGCTGAAAGACCTAGCCGCTTTGATAGCAGCTCGAATACTAAGGCTATCGTGAACAGGCTCACAGCTACCACAGATCCATCACAGCCCCGCGGAAGTGGCTCCGTGCACCGCCGCGTCATAGCAAGCACCCTCGATGCCAGCTGACAGATGAACAAGAATGTTTCTTGATCAGGCTTCAGAATTTTGAAAGCAGGTTTTGGTCTGGCATATGCTCTATGTAGACTGATCGTATTGTCGTTTGCCAGCGAGCTTTGTATTGCCAAGACCATAAGAGCCTTCCACGTTTGTCAACTAGACATCGCGTGCGATTCGCGAACACGACCATCATAAACAGTCTGTGTAAGAAGCCAGTAGTATTGTAATAATTTGGTAGATCAAGTAAGTAGGTGCACGCCATTGTATGCAAAATTCTTGACTGTCCATGGAATCCGCGGAGCGCGAGACGCCTAGGTGGGGTAGGTGGCAGGCAGGTGTCTAATTCCCAAGATGCGACGAAGGCTGATTTCTGGAAGAAATATTAAGAGATCAGAAACTGTCAGAGACTAGTAGTTTGCTACCCATGCTAGTTTGCTCCGACCATAGGGCTTCATGCGTGCGCTGGATCAGATCTAATATGTACGATGCTGACTCGCACGCCATGGCTTTCCAGGTGTCAAGAGACGGTGAGACTTGACAGCTGCATGACAGTCGCAGGTTTGCTGCAAGGGAGGCAATCCATCGATAATTAGCCACTTTGTCGATAATTGATGCTTGCGTCAGCCAGCCTCCGCGGATTTGAATGTGAAAGTCGGATGCGGGTAATTGCAATAAAGTTGTCCGTAACCTCCCGTGGTGCTGTGGACTGTGGAGTCGCGTGCCCCAATTCTCGGAGGAGCAGGAACTGGGCGCAGAGCCCTGGGGCGGCTACCTTACCCAAGCCATCAAGCTTTCCCCACACAACCGCGCGGGTGATCCACTGTCGCATCTGCAAGTATAGGGTCTGAGACCTCGTCCATATCGCAAAGGAGATCAAACGTGCATTGAATCGGAGGTCCGATACTGAGATGCGATCCGGATATCACGGATATAGACAGTCAACCACTCGTCGAGGCGCCCATTCTTCTTGTCGCAGACATGGGCCGAAAGCAATCGGATGCTGCATGCGCTTCCCCTGGCATGGCACCAACGGTCCGTTAGCGAATAGCCAGGGGTGTACCGTGTGCGTAAAAAAGTTGCCCTCAGCGGCTCCGTCTGCGGTACAAAGACACACCGCTCATAGTGCTTAGCAATTCGTCGGGTCGCGGTGTGCCTTCATGGAGCCGGTGCGGACCCGCGAAGGAGTAGACGGTGATGGCTTCTGGCTAATCGGGGCCGCTATTGACTTGAGTAACGCGACAGCACTTCAAGGTCCCATGTGGCGAACGGCCATGAGACATTTCCCGTAAGATCAACGCGATTAATAATAAGCACGCTGTTGCAACGCGGCGCTGCGCATTGACTACGGAAATAAAATGCCTCGATGCCTGACCTCGCAACGAGCGCGATATTGGGCTACGGGCATGCTGTCGTTGACCAAAAGAAAACAGCGGTATACCACAGACGAGGGCGCGGGCGGGAGCCGTTCGGGCTACTTTCCAGCTAGGTCAGAGTACCGGTAAAAGCAATATAGCACAGAAGGTGAGCGGACGAAGATTGAAGCCCATGGAAGAATCCTACGGCATTCCGTCAAGGCAAATATGGGCGTTCCGATTGCTCCCGACTCGTATGCACGTCCAGTCATGACCCCTGCTACCCGGTG